AAAGGAGAACCTGAACTGGGGTTGGAAAACACAGGAATGATTGTAGTGCAAAGTTCTTGGGGCAAAAATCCCAGTTGTTTCCAATCATTATCGTTAAGTTGTCGGCTAGCTTCTGGAGATGGCTCTATTTGTTCCCAGCATATGGGAGCATTAGATAATAGGCGTCCCTTTTTAGGAGTTAGCCATATGACCTCATCCCATATTTGATAAATATCAGGTAGAAAACCACCAGATCTAGACCCATTTACCTTCTTATATGCAGCAAAATAGTCATTAAACCAAGTTAAAACATAATCAAAATTAAAAGTTATATTATGTCCATAGTTACATCAGTCCATCTTAGGATTGTTAGATGTCATCAGATCAAGAAAAGGAGTCACGTATGATTGTTGTTGGTGAAGGTTTTTGCAGAGTGAAGAAAGTCCTTTTCTTGAAATGGAGAAACGCACCATGTTATACCTTCAATTGATGGGGGTGGGGGGGTGGTATGTTCCACAGACCCAGCAATTAGACCGATTGTGGAATGCAGCGTAGGAAAGAGTCCAGGACAGGAACGTGTTGTCTTTAGGGTCAGGTGGCAGACTCAGGACTCTTGGAGTCAGCAGAAGCAGGCCCACATAGATTATCAGGCCCATCTGAAAAGTAAAAGGTGAGAGCATAGAGGATATGAAGACATAAAATGACATTGTTTAGTTTTGGCCAGGTTGCCACTTTCTAACTTCAGTGTGGTTTCACCCAGGAATCAATTCCTAGCACCCTGACAGATGTGGGAGAAGAAAGAAGAATCTGGTAAGGGCCTTCCCAGAGGGGCTCAAGAGATTGGCCTCCAGACCCCAAAGTCTTTATCGGGACCTCCGTGCCTGGCTCAAACAGTGGCTTGTTTGGCTTAGAGGCAGGGTCCGGACTCACCTCCTGGAGTTTCCACAGTGTCTCTTGAAAGGCTGAAAGCTGAGTCACATAGTTAGTTAATTCTAGGGCTTCAGGGTCTATAACAATGTCTATGTGTAAAAAGGGTCTTCCATAGATAACATTCAAAGGGGGACAGTCCTTCCTTTTTAGAGGCAGTCTGAGACCTCTTTAAAGCTATGGGTAGAACTTTAAGCCAGCTGTCCTGAGGCTCTCGAGTTAATTTGTGCAGATATCTCTTAATAACGTCATTAGCCTTTTCTACCTTTGCTGAAGATTGGGGTCTCCAGGAACAATGTAACTGATACTCTATTCCTACAGCTTTCGACACCCCTTGAGTTACAAGTATTAGGACTTAAGGAAACGCCATTAGAGTTTTAGAAATGAAAGAGACCACGGGAATGGACACTGAGAGAGGCGAGGAGTGCCTGCGGCTAAGTCTCAGCTGCTCCACACTACCTCCCGAGCAGGCTGCCGGAGAAGAGCAGCAAGCCGAACGTAGAAAGGGGGCCTTGGACCTGGTGGCAGGTGCAGAACCCCAGAGGCGGGAGAAAACACAGCAGCTTTACTTCCTCCAGAAATACTGTGGCTGCCTTTCCTTGGCGCTGTGGAAGGTGTGTCAGGACTGCTGGTTCAGGGCTAGGAGGGGAGGGTGAGAAATCAAGTCCTTTTTTTCTCCCCCTCTTCCCTGTTGCAACCTGGTGTTTGCAGTAAGGCCACAGAAGCCTTCTTGAGGCTTAAAAGACAGAGCAACGCCGAGTGCATGGGAGCTTTACTTATAATACCCCCACTGAGAGGTTTTACTTTGGAGTTTTGCTTTAAGCTCCCTGCTAATCCAACTAGTCACATATTTTGGAGAGAAACTCCCTGTCTTCTTTTGACAGTGCAATGATTGCTCAATTTTTCATGACTGTCCTCCTCAAGGTATATGCCAGCTCAGTGTTACAGAAGAAAGCCTTTCTGAACATTATAGCAAAACCAGTTGGGTTTCCATAGGGTTACTAATAGATTTCGGTCCATTTTGGACTGTGACCAGTAGTTCACAGGAACAGCAGCCCCCAGGGAGAACTGTAGCTGATGGTATGTGGTGGCAGGTGGAGGGACCGGCAATTACTGCTGAAACTTGCCTAATTTACAGCTATTAATATTTACATAAAAATTCATTTAAAAACTTGTGCCTCATTGGTGAAGCCCAGTGAGGTTATGCGTAGCACCATTCGAACATAATTACCTGGGAACAAAAAAGCATTTAGAAAGTGCTCTGGGAGAAGAAGCCCCATGTTTGGCCATTGTGCCTTTGGACCAAATGTAACACCAGCCTGAGAAAAGAATAGTCATCGTGAAAATATTTTCTTTCCTTCCAAGTCAGGAAACAGACTCACAATGGAGTCCACCTCTTCATTCTGAATTTTGAGATGTGCAGGAAACAAGCAGCTCTTACCAGTTGAGGCTTTCCTGCTGATAAATCACCCTGAGGCCACAGTGACCTGTCTTGTTAATGAGTTAATGAAGAATCTTGGTCCTTGCATTGACCCTCTCCTTAGAAGCTTTCTATGGAGTTGAAACATGACACTAATTTATGAATTAACTCTTACCTGGCAAATGAGAAACAGAAGAGGAAGAAAAGAACCTGTACTACAGAGAAGCCGAGTCCACCAAAGCAGCCTCAATTTCTGAAAATGTTTTACTCGAGCATTCACTTCACTTGCAGACAGAAATATCATTAAAAGAAGTATTTTCCTCTTACTGCAGAACCTTAATAAAGCTGGTCTTGTTTTTGTCATGTTGCATTTTACCCCAAGGCAGTGACGTTTTATTGAAGGATTTCCCCACCCATTACTCTGACTAGAAACTGCTTTGAATTGAGCAACAGAAGTATTTGAGTTCTGTGTAAACATTTCAGTATAGAAATGTATAGAAAGCAAAGGAGAGTTTACTTCTATAAGTAAATGTTATGAACCCAGCATTTTTTAAAGGAGGCAGATCCTCTCTTCAGCTTATTAGAGGAAAAATAGGCTCCTTTAAATTTGGTTATCTTTCAGAACCAAACATTATTTCTTCTCCCAGATTACTTTTTCTTTTAGCAGTTGATTGTTGATTATGTTCTGTCTTTTAAAGGAGGCCCCAGGGTTGTTGAAGATAGCTCTGCTATAGGATCATTTCTCAGCTTTGCAGTTCTAGAAATGTGATTTTATTAGTTGATTAGATTCTAATGAACTGTTTGATGACTCATTAGGCTGGTGTTTTACATTTGGTTTAGAAAACAAAAATGCTTGTTAATTAACTTAAAATTATTATTTCGTTGGCCAGAAGAGTTTGTCCAAATGAAGCATCCCAAATCTGATAGCTGAGAAATCATGAAAAGCGATAGGGTTTGTAAGGAGGTAAGCAAAAAGAAGTAAATAGGTCTATCGTCTTCTCCATGTACCACTTAGAGACTTCCGAGGACTCTGTCTTCTACGTAAGGCATTTGTCTGTAAGGTTCTTAGCATTAGTGGTCTGTATTTAAACACTCCATCTGGTCAGTGCTAAATGGCCACTGCTAAGATGGCTCAAGATGGTAAGTTGAACACATGCCGCCACACAGGGGCCCCAATGCGCCCCAAATTCCTAAATATGTCAGAAAGCTATATGTCTTTAACTGTTGGGAAGAAAGGATGTCCTGGATAGTCTAAAAGTTTGAGGAATTCCTGAAGGACAGAAGGCAGATGGAATCATATTAAAGGTGGAAAGCAGAATCTAAAAGCTCTGCGTGTCCCACCCCCCATCCCCTCATAATTTCTGGATTTGGCTGTGGTAAATGGAAGGAGCATTTCCACACTGAGGAGCTAGAACCTCACTTGAGCACGCACAACAGCAAACCCCAGGAAAACCAGCATCATGAGAGAGAAACTACAAACTCAAGAAATTGAAGAGCGAACATTGGAGAATCCAGTTACTGTAAATAGAACCTAAGGAAGGAGACTTAAAGGGAAATGTGTTTATACCCTGCAAGGAATAAAAAGAAAATCTTTAATTCATGAAACAAGAACAGACTCTTATGGGAAAGAATGAATTGTTTCCTAGATCTTGGAAATAAAACATGATTGTTCAGCTGGAACCTCATTAAAGGGACTCCGTAGCCTAATAGATACAACTAAAAGGAATTAACAGTGAGCAGAGGAGAAATCTGAAGAATTTTCCTAGGTTTTAAAATAATTAAGAAATAGGTGGACAGAAAAGTAAATGTAACAAAAAGAGTCATTTCAGAAGTTTCAGGGTTCACAGAATATGAGTTCTGGGAGAAGAGCGGAAAAATAAACAGGGGGAGCAAATACCCAAAGACATAATGGAAGAAAGTTTCCAAAACAAGAAAATAATCCTTAGCATGAAAGGACCCACTATAAATGTATTAAGAGGGCTTACATTTTACACATACAGTAGAAGTCTCTAAAGATAAGGAAAAATCCTAAAAGCTTTGAGATAGAGGAAAAAACAGTTGAGCCTAGAATCAGGTTGGTGTAACAGAGTCTTATTGGCAACGTTGGATGCAGGAAAACAATGAAGCAATATATTCAGAGATCTGAGAGAAAACACTGTAGGACCTCAGAGTCCATACCCAGGGAAGCTGTCCCCCAGGTATTGAGATCCAGTGAAGGCATTTGTCAAGTTTGCAAGAACTCAACTTCCTACTCATGATCCCTATTTTAGAGAATTACCAGAGGGATGCTGTCCAGGAAAATTCAAGGGGGAAACAGAAGCATTAATAAAAGGGGAAAAACACAGCAGAAAATGCTTTAGGCCAGTAGTCTGGAACTTGAGCAGCTGCCTGCTGCTGACAGCACTGACCCCTGTAGACGCAGGTAAAGGCGGCTGCCCAGAGGTCCGCAGTCCAGGCTGCTCTGCCGTCCGCCGTGGATGCCCCCGCGCGGCCAGGTCTCCAGTCTCTGCTCGTCTTTGAGATGCTCATCTACCCCCGCCCCTGCCCATTCTCTCGTACCCGCCTGTACTCGGGACCCAGTGATCTCCCTTCTCTCCTCCTAGATCCTTTCACTAGGCTAATAATTAAATTGACATAGGATAGATTAACAGGAGAAAAATAAATTTAATTTTGTATGTACCAGAGCTTCATAAAAATATGAGACTCAAAGAAGTGACTGAAACTGGAAGCTTTTATATCTTTTAGACAAAAAAACCACAGATTTGTGAAGGGTTGAGCAAAGGGGTTTGGGCTCGGGGTAGTGAGTTGGTGAAGAAGTAGCACAGTGTGTTTATACGGCATTCTCAGCCCTAGACTCCCTCTCTCTGGTGATAAGGATGCCCTCAACCCCTCTGCTCCCTTTCCTATGGGGGGTTATCACCTGCTGATTAGGGGGACAAGGAGGGTCAGACTGTCCTTTTTGTACTGGCTATTTCTTAAGTACCTTTAATTCAGAAAAATCAAAAGGCCAAAGTGGCATATTTTGGGGTGACAAATCCTGACCCCCTGCTGACTCCGCTTCCTTGATGAATAAACCCTTCACCTTGTGCCTTCACTGAAACTGGGCCAAGTGGGCCCCTGGAATCATGGTTTCCCCTGAGAAGCCTCAGGCTGGAGCTGCTTTTTCTCATAAACTTCACAATTCCCAAGACCTGGAGGTGAAATAGATGTCTTGTACCCATCACTGCTTCCAAATTCTTTCCTCCTCCTTCCTGAATTTGCCATTGAGGTTACTGAAAGTACTAAAGTATACACACATCTTTATCCATCCATCTGTCAATGGACATTTAGATCATTTGAAGCCTTTTTAAAAGAATGCCAATACATTCATTAAAAAAAAAAAAAAAACCACAGTGAAAAACCTATGACAAAGACCACAATAAACAAAGACTAATAACAAACTAGGAGAAACTCATTTGCAACTCAAATCCAAACAAGGTTAAGTTTCCCTAGTAAGAGCCTCTGCTAATCAATAAGAAATATATTTATATTAATCACCCAGTTTTTAATTTTTTAAATGATTGATTGGGTTAAGTGGCTTTGTTAGAGAAAGCCAAGGTTACAGAGGACTTAGGAGTTGGCATTAGGGCCCTTCTTATTGCCAAAGGTGGGCCCGACACTGACACAGCGCCGGTTGTCCTGCGTACAACTCTTGGCCTGCCCGTCTTCTGCTGCTTCTCTTGCTTGGCCACCTTGGGAGTCTGACCTCTCACTTTCCCAGCGTGGGCCAGGGAACCACGGACTTTACCTCCAGGCATGCAGCCGGCTACTTCCAGAGTGCTCGGAGCCTCCACGCCACACTGGCCCAGAGTCTCATCCTCTAGGGGCGTGCCAGCCAGGAGTAGGACTTGATCTTCTGGAGCGATGCCCTCCATCAAAGCTACATGAGCCTTGATTTGGGCGACTGTCTCCTGGCCAGTCACATTGAGAGTGTGTAGCTCCTGGGCGTGGACAAAGAGCTGCATGTTGGCAACTAGATCGCGGACACCACTGCCGCGACCACAAAGATGGAATCGAGAAAGAGCTCACCCAGTTTTCAAAAGGGCCAAAAAAATCCCTTAGCAGAACAGAAATGTAAATGTCTCTTACACATTAGAAAAGATGCTGAGTTTCCCTAATAAAAAGAGAAACACAAATTTGAATAACAAGGAGATGCTATTTTTCACCAGATTGGCAGAGATCCCAAAGTTTGAGAACCGCGCTTTGACAAGGGTATGGCCCTCTGTATTTGTAGTGACAACTGATTGTCACCGAGGTCTGTAAGTAGGGGCTGTCTGGTAATCTGTGGTTCTTCCATACAGTAGGACAGCATGCAGCTTGGAGAAGAAAGAGAAAGTACCCTGTGTACTGATGTGTAATGATCTCTGGAATACATAAATCAGGGGAAAAGGCCAGGGGCAGAGTAGTGCAGAGGCCTACAGTCAATTCATGTGCAGGGTGGGAGGGAATATAGACAAATATATATTGCTTGGATATGCATGAAATAGCTCTGGCAGGAAGAAGCAGATTATTAAAATCTGACTGGCAGAGCTCTCTTTCCAGACCCCAATAAAAACTAAATATATGGAGATTTAGGTTTTCAGATAGGAAATTAGGTCCTACTGGAGAAGATAGCGAGGGGACTGACAATGATTGCACATGCAGAGACACTCTGGAAGGACACTGGGAACTGGTAACACCGGTTGCTTCAGAGAAAAAGAATTTCTGGCTGGGAGACTGGTAGGATATTATTTTTCATTGGTCCCTTTTTGATCATTTTGTATTTTGACCATATGCATAAACCAAATAAAGATTCCCCTCCCCCCCGCCGCCGCCACCCAACCCCTAGCAGCAAGAAGTCACTGACAAATACATACTTCATGTTCTAATAGTTCATGTCTCATTGTAAATCAAGAGACCTGAGAGTATTTGAAACCTGGCAAGGGGGCAGGTTGCAGCTTTTATAAGACAGGAAGACAACATGAAAGAGATGGCTGGCTCCAGAGGATTGCTGAATTGGTTGAGTCCCTGGAATGTGTTGATGGGGAGATTAATTGTAGGGGCAGCTGAGCCATTTCTCACCCTCCATATGCATTCCCTTAGCCCATGGGTTGACCTGCTGAATAGGAAGTTTTCTTTTCTCCAGACTTTTTTTTCAATCTGGTAGGGTTTAGATTGTGCTTGGACTGTCCCATGTTTTGTTTCTTTTTTAGCCTTATTTTGACAGTTTATTGGAATAATAAAAAACAAGTGAGGGAAAAGGCTTCTTCCTGTGCTTTACCTGACCATTTCTCCCTCTCTCTCCTTCGCCCTAGTGAAAACTTTCTCCACCTCCTGCACCGTTTCTAGCTGATGGTTTCTGCTTTGCAGCAGCAGGCTAGGTCTACTGGCCAGTAAGCAGCCTTTTTTCTGGCGTTTGCATCCCTGGAAAGTCCAGTTAGATGTTTTTCAGAGCATTTCAGGCTTGACAGGATTGGCTAGCCAGAGGGAATTGATTGTTGGCAACAGTTTGTCCTTATTATTGTCCTCATTATTGTCCTCTTTCCTATTCCTTTTCACGTTTCTGTTGTTTTAAAGGGTTCTGTTTGGATTAATTAATTACAGGAAAAGGAAGATGCAAACCTTTGTATAGCTGGAGTGGATCCAGTGCTTCAAGAGGAGCAAGTCCTGGGTCTGTGGGAGGGGGTAGGGTCAGTGGCCTTTCCAGATGATCGTGAGTAACTGATATTGCAATATCTCTGTTCCACAGAGGCTCTTGCAGAGTATTAATGATTAATAATGTTCATGACCTCTCACAGAGTTAAATTGGTTTGTCTATGTCTCAGTCACTGAAGTAGAAAATGTGGAGGAGTGATTTCTCCGGGGGTGGGGGTGGGGGGGCGGCCAGCCCAAGCAGCAGATGAATTAGGAGTGCAGCTTTAAAGACTTCCTTTCATCGCCTTTTTACTTTCCTCTCCCTGTTTAAAACAAACTTTCTGGTTTGATGACAGTCTCAGTGTCATTCCAGGACTTCCCTTCCCAATTCTCATTTGACAGAGGCACGTCCCATTTTAGCCATTTCCCATGATTTACTTTGACTCTGCAGCTCAGTGTCTTATCTGAAGGGGCGGCCTTCAAAGATTTTTGTCTTTCTAAAACTTAACAGCATACAAAACCTACTGAGGAATAAATATGATTCTGCAAAACCTTTTCTGTTAAGTGCTGGAAGAGTGTACTAGCTTTCATCTCTTTAATCATTTCAGCAGTGCACTTAACTGGGGAACAGATCATTTCACCAGCTTGTCCAGTGAAGAGATAGACTGATTGACTCCTCAGAAACATTCCTTTCTTTTCTTTTCCTGCTGAAAGGAACATTAAGATTTATTAACCCAGATTTGTTATCAGCTCAAAGTCATACAGCGGCATAGTGTGAAACATCCAAATGCACTCTGCAGTCTCCTAATCCCATTCTGGATCCTGCTTTTAGAGGCAACCACTTTAAACTGTTTTAGCTAGTTCTTCTGGTATTATTTTGTCCATAATTTAAACTACTGTGTTTAGTATATTGGGTTTTTTGTTTTTTTTTTCAATTTTAGACATTATTTGTTAACTTACTGTTAATCCTAGTCTTTAAGGAACACCAACTCCTGATTTGAAAGAGAAGGAATTAATAACACTCTCGTACTGCCCCTTCCCTGAGCCCGGGTGTGGACTAGCTTTGTGTTTCCTTTCATGTCTGTGTCTGATTTGTTGTTGATATTGTTCAGTCACCCAGTCGTGTCTGACTCTGCGACCCCATGGAGTGCAGCATGCCCGGCTACCCTGTCCTTCACCATCTCCCAGAGCTTGCTCAAGCTCACGTCCATTGAGTCAGTGATGCCATCCAGCCATCTCATCCTCTGTTGTCCCGTTTTCCTCCCGCCTTCAATCTTTCCCAGCATGTTATTTGTTAGCTTGCTTTCATAGTTTGTTTTCTATGTTCCTGTTACATTTTTTCCAACTCTCCCACAGGTCTGTGAAATCCCTGTCAATACTTTTCTTGACTGTGTCGGTTCCATACCACCCCCACCCCCAGTCCCTTCTGAAGTCTTCCATCCTTCTGCTAGGGTCTGGACTCTGTTCTCTGGGCTTTCTATGCAGCTGTTGTTCTGGGCCTGCCTTCCATCCCTCTTTGTGTGGCTCCCCTGACTCTTGGATTCCTTGTCTTACTCTTTCTAGTCCCTCATTTAATAGAGCTCATCCTCCAGTAACATCCTGAGGAAATGTTATGCAGGAGATAAATTTTTGAAACTTAGCATGTCTGAAGATGACTTTGTTCTGTCTTTACATTTTAGCAGTGGTCTTTCTGGATATAACATGAGGTGGGAAATGATTTCCCATCAGAATTGTAAGGACGTTTCTCCACAGTCAGGCTTCTAGAAGTCTCAAGCCATTTGGAAGTCTTCAATTTTTGTGTATGACCTCATTCCCCCACCCCTTTGAACGTTTTTAGGGTCTTCTATTCTCCCCAGGCACCCAGACCACCAGCAGTGAGAAGCACCCACTTCTTTTTGCCTCTTTTTCTAGCTGCTCTTCCCATCTTATCCCTTCCAGTGTGTCCACCAGCTCAGGTGCCCACTGAACAAGAGAGAGAGCTCCTATCTGCATAATTCTCTTACCTTGACGTAGTTGACGTCGTTGGCTGTGGCAGCTGGAAAGAGTGGTCGTCTTTGCTGCAGCTCAGCTTGCTGCCAGTAGCAAACCTATACACCTGAATAATTCTTTCTGGCAGCTTCTGACAAGAAGTTATTCAGTTGGCTGAATATTGAGTTAGTTAATTGCTCCAATTACATCCATCCAGTGTTGGTTTTAGCTTCAAGACTGGGCTCAGACATTGCTTCTGGCCCATAACATAGCAGAGTATGTGACTTAAAAGTAGCCCCCAAGACCAAACCAACAAGAGCAGCTTTGCTCTGCAGTGACAGTGGCAAGAGAAAAAGACTCATTTGCGACCCTCATAAGTGTTTCTTTCCTTCTGTCTCCTGACCTGGTTGTTTCAGAGCTTCATTAGCCACAAAATACGAAGGCATATATCAGTTTTGTGTGTGTGTGTGTGTGTGTGCAAATTCTCTTGTCACAGACCAAAAAAACAAAGGTTCATCCAGTATTCCCTCTAATGCTGTCCCTGACCTGTGTTTCAATAAGGCTATTTTAGCGTGTGGCCACCAGATTACAGTTCATGGCAGGGTTGTTGAGCATTCTGCAGGCTCTTATCCAGTGACACTGAGGCCAGCCTAGGACAAATTCCAGGCTCCTGACAGCCATTCAAGGAGGGATCTGCCATCTGTTGCAATGAACAAATGCCTTTCCCATGTCTAAACTGCTAATTTCTCCTGCAGAAAACCTGGCTAAGAATGTGCAGCAGCTACGAGATTAGGCAACACCAAGAATTGTTACCTTAGTAGATATCATTATTGTAATCTGTTTATAATGTACCAAGTTGATATGTTTTCCCAATTTTCATAGATTCTTTTAACAAATGTTTATTAAAAGTGCCTGCCATGTGCCAGGCGCTGCACCAGGTTGGATTAGATGAGTGATCGAAACAGACATCAGGTCCAGCCTTTGTGGAGTTTCCACCCCAAGAGGGAGATGGACAATAAACATAATAAATAAATTATGTGATGTGTTAGAAAATGCTGAATGTTAAGAAGAAAAGAAAAATCTGAGGAGGGTAGTGGGAGCAGGACCGTGGGGTGAGGGTGAAGGTTAGAGTGTTGAACAGGATGGTAAGTGTAAGTCTCACTGAGAAGTTGAGATCTGGGCACAGACTTGAGGGAGGTAAGAAAGTTAATAAGATGTTCTATTGGAAGAGGGTATTTCAGGTGGAAGGAATGGCTTGAGTCTCGGCCTTCAAAGGTGGGTGTGTACCTGCGGTGGAGTGAGTGTGGGGTTAGTCTTGGAGAGCAGGTCTGAGAGGTGAGTACCTGGTCAGGTGCTGTGCCTTCTGCTAAGGTGTGGAAAGCTGCTGCAGACGAAGTCTGCTGGGCAGTTAGTGAAAGTCTGGAGTTAGGGAGCAAGGTCTGGGCTGAAAATAAGACATTTGGGAGTCAGAGGCAGTTTACTGGTATATAAGCCTTGGGACTGGATGAAATCACTCAGGAAGTGAGTGTCCATGAAGAAAAGCCGTCCAAAGATTGTGTGCTGGAAGACTCCCAGATGCCCCCAAAGCAGCCAACATT